GGGGACTTGCGGGGGAGGCGGGCGAGCCGAGTGCGGCCCCCGGAGTTTCTCCACGCAAGTCAGGGCGCGCCGTGGGTGCCGCTCAGCGAGGTGCCGGCGTGGCCCAGGTGGAGGCACACCAGCCCCCGTTACAAACAGAAATAATGACCGCCTCACGGGTGCGTTTCTTTCTTCTTCCCCCCCTCAGGAGAAGCAGCAATGTAATCTGTTAAATGCCAGCGTCGCGTCCTGATGCCATCGTGGAAACCGCGCTGCTCGGTGAGGCACTGAGCGACAGCTTTCTTGACAGTCGTAATTTGCTTTATTCAGAGCGTCATCCCAGCTCCATTTTCTGTTGCTGCCCAAAGCCTAGTGCTGTTCCCTGTGACGAGGCTCCTTTGTACTGCAGTATTTGGTAGCCTTCTTCTGGGCTCTGAGGACAATACGTGACCTGTGTAAAAATGCTGCGATACTGGGGTGAGATTCCGGTTTCATCTAACCAGGCCAACCGCAGCTCCTTTGACCTGCTTCAGCGTGAGTTTCGTACTGTGGAAGTCCAAGATCCTCCATTGCATCAGCCATCTGCAAACAAACCCCGGCCGACCACCATGTTGGACATCCCCTCGGAGCCCTGCAGCCTCACGATTCACACCATTCAGCTCATCCAGCACAACAGGCGGCTGCGCAGCCTGATTACCATGGCTCAGGCTCAAAACCAGCAGCAAGCGGAGGGCATAAAAACTGAAGACAATGAACCTCTGCCATCTTGTCCGGCCTCTCCACCTCTCCCTGATGACCTGCTTCCTCTGGATAGCAAAACCCCCAAAATGCCATTTCAGCTGAGGCACAGTGACCCAGAGAGTGATTTCTACAGGTGTGTTGGTATTTCTTTGGGTTAGTTTTTGGCTGAAGGAAAGATTAGTGTTTTTAAATGTATACGTAGTTATGTCAATTCCTTTAGGCTGAAGGGTCAAACAGTTGTATGTAAAGTATAAAGCAGGCTTTGAAAATGAAAGAGTTAGGTTTCTCTAGTGTGGACAACATGGACTTTGTTTAAAATAGATGTGCTTTTGTTTCCTGTCTATAAAATGTGGATGTGTAATGCTGATTTCTGTCTTGTTAGTGCTATGCTAAATGTTTGTGAATGGTTTTGCTATCTCCAATGGTATTTTGACAAGTTTATTTATAGGATATGAGGTCTCTTCTATTTAGGTCACTTACTGAGAGCTAAACTTGCCTTATTGTAACTGAAAACCCAGAACACGCATGACTAGGTTTTGGCTGCTCAGTTGTAGGTTCTGAAAAGATGATTTGATAACGTATTTGTAAGATTTCAGTGGCCAAGGACCTGTGATGTAGTAACTATCACATTTCACTCCGTTTGTTGGTGTTATTTTGGTCAGAGGTGGTGATGAGTATGGGTGAAGGAAATTCTTGTCTCTGATGCTGGCTCTACCAGCCAAGGGCTGGAGAAAATGTAAAGGAAGGCTGCATTGCTTCTACCTCTGCAGCTAATCTTTGATTAAATAGTATTGCCACCACCTCCCTGTCTACCCCTGCGACAGGCACTGAATTCACAAGGAGGTGTTGCATTTCTTGCAGGATCTCACGATACTTTGTAGGTTATGTGCATTTAAATTCAGGGATTAATCCTTGCTACTATAACTTTCTGTTCTTAGATTAAAGACTGTGCACCAATGAACATGATGTGGGAGAGGATAACACATTTTAATTTTTAAAATGGGGAAAAGTGCATCAAGAAAATATAAGGTATCAGTTAAACACCACTGAGATCTTTAATGGCCTGAGGTTGTATAAAATGCATTTTATTGAAAGATGTTGTTTTTGGTGACATAGTCTCTCTGAACAGTAGAGCGATTCTTTAGTGCTGTTTGTGGAGGAACACCATCATCCTTCTCAGAAGAAATAAAGTAATTAGCCTAGGAAAGGAAATCCAGTCCTGTGAGGATAAAGTCTGAGCCCTGTGACTTCTGCTCTTTCTGGACCTGTGGTTTGTAGAACTGAGCAGTGTTCTGCTCTGTCCTCCCCGGTGGCTTCAGCTTTATGTTCAGTTTTCTGTGGCTCTGTCCATGTTTTGGGGGTTGCTTTGTCTTTTTATTGTCCCTTGTGTGTTTCTGGGTTCCAAGTAAAGAAATGTTATTTAGCAGTCAACCACATGGGGGAGTTTAAGGACTAGGTTGGAGAAACTGGATAGACAATTTTGAAATTAAACGTTTTGTGGCTGACAGAGAGTGGATTTATAATGAGCTGCAGTGTAGAGTAGAATTTGTGTGTTTGCTAAACCAAACACAGTTATGCTTTTCCAGGAGGAAAGCTTTCAGTTTGTTGTTGCATGTTTGTTCTTAACTCTTTTAAGACACTTACATGAATTAAGAATAGCAGCTGCTGTTACAGTAGTAAAAATAAAGTTATATGATTTGCCGACACTTGTTCTTAGTGTGTAAAAACAATTTAAGGAAAACCATTCTTCCCCTTGATAAAACATGGCAGTGCTTAATTTTATGGTGCCTTCTGAAGTGCTATTGTCAGAGTTAGTATTTGACTAAATCCATATTTTAATTCCATTTTCTTTGGCAGTAACCTGGGTCTGAGAAGCAATGAATAGGTATATTTAGATATAGGATGGATAGGTATATTTAGATATAGGAAGAAAAGAAGATAAGAGCAGCCAGCCTGAATCAGACCCCAAGTTTCTTTATTACAGTCATGTCCTCTTCTCTTTCCTTGTTATTCATTTTCATCCTTTGACCCCACAGCCTTGTCTTTTATTTTGTTATTCCCTGGATTCATTTTGGTTTTACTCCTCTCTGTCCTGCCCCATACCTGTAAGCCCTACCTCCTCATCCCTTTGGAGATGAGGAAGAGGCACAACTTAATTTACTGCTATTTTTAAGTTGCTTTGGTCTTTTCAATCGCCCAAAATCTGTATCACCAGCAGTTTTAATTGTGACGCTATTCCTCTCCTCAGTTTTTCCAGACTGTTTATAAATACGTTGAAACAAACCTTGATTCTGGCACAGATCCTTCAGGGAAGACCTGGGCTCCGCAGTGGAGATCTCTTATATACTTGCTTGTTGATGGATTTGGAGGACTCTAGTAGGTTTGTGGAGCAGGTTTTCTATTTACAAAAGCTGCCTGGACTCTTTCTGAGTGTATCATATTTACCCATGTGTCCTCTAATTCTGTTCTTATAATTTCTTTGAATTTCCCTGATGTACAAGAATATATCAGGCTTCCCAGCCTGCAGTTCTTCACATCTTTTCTGAAGCTATTAGAAGAAAATGTTTTCACATTTTCTGTCTTCTGGTCCTCATGGGCCAAGACAGTTTAAAGTGAGAGGTGACTCACAGCAGCTATTCAGCTATTTCATCCTTGAATTCCTTTAGTATTCCTGGATGAATTACCATCTGGTTCTGGTAATTTGCAACTGTTGATGTTACAGTTCTTAGAACATACAATAAGGGATTAACAGTTGTTTTTACTTGGTATAGAAACAGAAGGTAAGCTTAAAGCATAATCGATGAGGAATGAGTAAGGAACTGTAGACTTGAAACTACCAGTTGAACAGGAGGCTCTTACCATAATATGGCTGCTAGCTTTTCCTTCTTCTCTCTTCAGCTTCCTCCGATTAGCATGTATCTGTCTTCAAAAGAAGCCTAACCTACTCATTATGTGCCTCTTCAGATGCTTTTTCTTGTGTGTGCATGGTTGGTTTCTTAACGGATTTCTCTGGTACTCTCTCATTTGTGTTCCTGACCACATCGAATGTGTCCTTTGCATTGAAAGATAATCAGTGAATGAAATTGGGAGCTTGCAATGGGAAGACAATCCATGGCAGAAGGGCTTGTAGTTAAGAAATGTCTGTACAGAAGTAGGGAAGCACGTGTTGGTGGGATAGCAGGTTTAATGCTGGGAAGGATTTGGAGCAGTGGAAGATAGAGCAGGCAGAACATACTTCCCCTGCTGGACTAAGCACTTTGGCTTAGCCCCGAAACTGTCCGGTCTTCAGGGTTGGGCCACTGGGACCCAATTTATTTTCCAAACATTATCTATTGCCTCTTGCCATTATCTATTGAGCAGTTTCTTTTTACACCTGTGAAGACTTCTGTAGACATAGCAGAGATATTTAAAAAGAGGCTTGCTCAGAATGAGGTGGAAAGAGGCCCTTTTCCAAAAGGTAACAACTCTCTGGTTTGAGTTAGTGTGCTGTGTACTTTGATGCACTCTCTGACTAGTATAATCTTGTTTTTTCCAATGTTCTCCTTTATTTTACTGTTTTGGGGAAAATGGCTGTGAAGCGACCTTGTTGCACCTCATTTGGTAGAAATTCAACTCCACGATGTAATGTTTCATAAAATCGATGTGTTTGTAGGAAAAACAATCCCTCCCTCCATCTGCTGCTAGCTTATGCTCACCTAGGAGGGAGCAGAGCGCTTCAGTCTGTTACTGCAGTTGAGTGAACCTCGGCTGTTGATCATTGTACTGACTTAGCCCAAACACTATCCTGAGGATAGTTGCATGGGAAATGAACCACAGGATCTCCATCTCTCTAAGAAAAACAGCCTTACAGGAGAGGATCTTGGGTGAATGGATTGTGGTGCTTTTGGGGAATGCCTTGTTGACACAGAAAATGGGCCTTTTGTGAGTTCTGAAATGTTATGAATCCTGAAAATAAGCCTATGTGGTATAAATGGACACTTTTTTCTGTTGTGAAGTTCTGCATGTTGCAGGTTTGCTGGCAGCAGTGGGAGAAGGCTGGGCTTTGAGTCTGATGAATTTGTGGCTTGGCAGGTAGATTTCTGTCTGGAACATCATCTAGTGTTGGTGACCCATATATAAAAATATAGATCCTATTGGAAATACAAAATTGAGGAGCGACAGGTTGGCCAGTATTTGTGTTAAATTTCATACTATATATTCTGTAGAGATGATCACCTCCAAGTCACAGGCCTAATTGCCAGTCTTGTTAATCTCTGGTGACAGAATTTTAGGGATTAAAGCGCTTTTGTTTACTTGCAGCTATATGACCCTGGTAATATGTTAAATAGGTTTGGCTTTGGATGGTTGCTGGATGGGCAGCCTTTCAGGAAAGCAGTAAGTGCTGCATAGGGTGGCATTCTGCAGAATGATAGTATCTGGAAGGGTACTTTTGTAGGTGCTAGGTATCTGGATGAGATCTAGCACCAAAACTCTTTAGCTATGATCATCACGGAAAAGAAGTTTGCTGGTCCTTTTCAGGAAGGCTTGACATTAGATAGCTGCTCTCAAATTAAATGTGTCTATATGGCTGTTTTTGTTTATGTGCATTCTTATCAGACAGTACCTGAAAGTTAAAGGAGATGAAGAAAAAAAGATATTTTCCCATTTTTTGGTTTCCATTAACATCTACAATATTTCAATTTTTTCAGTCTAATCAGGCTTTTAGTCATCTTCCTCTATTGCTGAGGAAACCAGCAATTGCTGAGAAACCAGAAAACAAGAGAAGAAAACATAGGAAAAAGAAAACAAAATTGATTGACCTTACTAAGAACAAGAAGTGGGTTTTGGATTTGAGTACAGTACCTGAAATTTCTTTTCTCTCTGTCTTTAATTGATTAGATTTCAAGTTGATTATATCCCTTTCAGCATAGTGACCTAGCTGCATTTTAATGCTGGCAATTATATCTCTTTTAAACTCCTACAGGAAAAGAAACTAACATTCTCTGCTGCTTCTGAGCAGTGATATGCATTGCTAAGTGGTTGTTGGGCTCTACTTTACAAGTGGCTGAGTAGCCTGCTTGGGCTTGCCAAATTGTGTCTAGTTTATGTTTGTCCATAGTGTTTTGAGTGAGTGGCAGAACATCAATAATGGCTCTTTATTTGTCTCCGTATTAATAGTAGTCTGGTGTTCGGTGGTTTTGGTAGCATAAGATGTTCTCCGCTGATGGCTGCTGGACAGCTAGGTACGTCCTTTATATGTGTTAAAAAAGAAGAGATTCTTTTTTATAGACATAAATTTCGATGGTTGTTTTCTGATTGGCTTTGTTTGATGGTTGTTTTTTTCTGTTGTAACCTCCTGGTCCCAATGTTGTATGAGACATATGGTTGTTTGTGAACTTCTGAAATCTGTCGCTGGGAGGTGGAGCAGGGAGTGAAGGAAATGTAAAAACAGTATGGGTGACACTTGGTTTATAAGGGAACTGATGATCTTTTAATTCGTGTTGTCAGAGCACCTGCTGTCTTCTTTACAGAGTAGTTACATAATTGAGTAGGAATTGGGATGTGAGTCATTTTCAAGCAATTAATAACTGGGATGAATCCGTGATCTGAGATCCACATGCTGTTCTTAATATCTACTCAGAAATATCATCATCTGCAGCTCTTAATATGATATGATCCCCCCCTTTATTTGAATAATCAGAAAGCGCTGAGCTGGTGTTCTTGAAACAGAATGATTTTGGTCCTGATAGCTCCAAGTTTAACCTTCCATTTTCACTCCCCTGAAACGTTATCTTTTTTTATTGCTGTGTTTCAGTGGTTTTCTATGGGTCCGTTCTGAGGATCAGGGGGAGCTGAGGCTCTGTGACCCAGAGCCTCAGTGCGACTGAAGGGTACCTAGTGCACTTGTTGGAGAGACAGAGTAGTGAGAACTTTATCAAGGCATCAATGCTGTCTGTGTACTGTTTAATCAGGTCTTGTTACTGGAAAGA